ATTTTTTTATTATATATTCTTATTGTTATTTAATATTTCAAGTTTTTTATATTTTTATTTTTCAAATTATTTTAATTTTTTTATTTTATATTCTAATTTTTCATTTAAAATTTTAATTTTTTTTATTTTTTATTCTAATTTTTCCTTTAATATTTTCATTTTTTTATTTTTTACTCCTCTTTTTATTTTGTATTTAAGTCTTTTATTAGCTTTAATTTATTTAGCTTATACTTTTTAATTTTTGATTTTTTTTTTTGGATTTGCAAACAAGTTTTTTGTTTAATATTTCAACTTTTTTTTACATTTTATATTTTATTTTTTGTGTTTAATATTATATCTTTTTTAATTTTATATTTTAATTTTTTGTTCAGTATTCTTTTTTTAAGTTTTTATTTTCTTATTTTATATTTAATTAATATAATTTTTTATTTAATATTTCAATTTCTTATTTATTATTTTATTTTTAGTATTTTATATTATAATTTTTTTTAATTTTATATTTTAATATTTTGTTCAGTATTATTTTTGTATTTAAAATTTTTATTTTATATTTAATTAATACAATATTTTATTTAAAATTTTAATTTCTAATTTAATATTTTTATTTTATATTTTAGTTTGTAATTTGTAGCTCATTTTTATTTAATATTTTAATTCTTTATTTGATATTTTAAATTTGGATTGTAATATTTTCATTTTATATTGTGCATATTAAGTTTTTAATTTTATCTTGTTTTTTTTATTTTATAATTTTTTTTCTATTTTATATTCTAACTTCTTAGTTAACATTTTAATTTTATATTTTTTTCTCAATTTTTTGATTTGTAATATTTTCATTTTTTTTAATATTTTTCTTTTGCTTACCTGAAATTTTTATTTTTTTGTTTATTTTATATTTTTATTAGTTTGAATTTAAATTTTTTTATTTTATGTCCTTTTTTATTTAATAATTTAATGTTTTAATTTCTTTATTTCACATTTTATTTTGTTTTTATTTTCTTTACATTTTAACTTATTTATTCCACTTTTTAATGTTTTTTTTTATCACTACTCACAAATTTTATTTACAAATCATACCAACAAGCTTTACAAAAAAAATTGCAAATACACAACCCGCACACATACGCACACAATCGCACCTTTGCACAATTGGAGAATTTATAATTAATAAAAAAATTGCAGTAAAATTATAAATTGCAAACAATTTTTCTGTTTTTGTTTTATTTTTTTCTACACAAAATTTTTGCATCATTGTAGAAGCATGGGTAGTACCAGCCGTTACAGCCGTAGATGAAACAATCTCTGCACAACAACATTCACAACCCGAATACGTGCATACCGATCACAATAATAATAATAATAACAATCACGAAAATATGATTAGCAATGCAATTGGCAAACAACACCACACAAAAACATCTAAATCACACAAAAACAACAAGGCATCCGAACATTCACCAACATCTACAGCATCCGAAACCGAATCAGAAATCGATCAAACCGCATCCGAAGTTCATGCATCCGAACCCGAACATGAGTCAGAGTCAGAGCGTTCACACGATAGCGCACCCGAACATAACAATCCGGCCAAGGATGCCAAGGAAGAGCATGCATAAACAAACTCAGCATAAAATTAAAAATTCTCATTCTCAGTTTAGTTAACAAAAATTAAAAAAAAAAATTAAAAAAAACTCAAAAATTTGCAGAAAAGCCATAACATTAACAGCAACTAAAAAATTATAGCAAATTCACTAATGAAACATTTGCGTTGATTGCGCTTTTCAAAACACAAACACGAATCAAATTTGTAAGCTATAACCAGCATTATTTGCATATTCATTATTTGCTTGAGTGTGCGTTGAAAATTGAAAGTGATCTATGTATAAAAGTCGTGCTTCATTCGATTGGTTTTTTGCCTTTTCACCAACATCTTCATCTTTATCACCATCATTTACACCCCACATTTACAACACCAACTAACACATTTTCTCACAAACATAGCATGCATGCAATAACAATATTTGTGAGCGATAACCATAGGCTAACATTTTGACTAACATTCCCGCCTTCGAAATTTCCTTGGATATCATTTTATAAGAGCTTTCACTTGATGGAAGCTCAAATAGTTTTCTTGTCATGAAATGCTTTTATAATTATACATATACATACATTAATATATCTCGTGTCATACAGTGTTATTGAGTATTATCGAAGTCGAACGCATTTCAATTAAGATAATAATTTGCTTCGAGCTTATAAATTCGCTATATAAATTTCAAATTGAAATCATTGTAGTTAATTCATCTAAATATTTAAGCACATTCCCAAAGCTTTCAACTGTCGAAAGCTCATACGGTTTTTTCATCTATGTGTACTTTTGTAGCAATTACAGTTTGCATTACATTTTATGGTGACCGGAAACCTTAAATACATTTTTTACAGTTTGACCAAGCCTACTAGACTTGAGTGGATACCAGTTGACCTAAACTGGTCACCGAAAGGGTGGCAGCCATTATAGAGACGATAAAGTAATCGAAGCCCATTTTTGTTATGCTTGCTTTGCTTTTATCGGTTGTCAAAATTATTCATGCAACTCTACGCTTCAAAGCAAAAATATAGTCACGAATGACAACTGATATGAAGAACGAAATCGATCAGCTGATCACACTCAAACCGGAAACAGACGCTAAGTTTTCCTACTTTGAAGACTGTGCAATGGTTACAGCGCTTGGCCGTATAAAATCCGGGTCAGCTCTAGTGCCTAAAACCGACTGTCGCTTACTGTTGCTTAATTACTGCTCTTAATCACCGCTTAAACGGTTCTAGCCGAGTTAACAGCAGCAAGCAAATTGGTTTATTCGCTTAACAGTTCGGTGTCAATGGGAAGCACTAAGTGAAGTCTTTTACCAACTGTTCCTTCCGAAGATGTGCCGGTGTTACTCTTCCTCTGCTTCCACCGGCGTATTGGAATACTCTCAAAATTCGAATATTTTCTAAAAGTAGAATGACAGAGTCTAGCCTGCGTTCCATTGGCTCTTGGCTGGCTGAAATGTGTCAAAATCACCGTATATCTCGTAAAGCTCAACGGAGCTTTATCTTCCTCAAAATCTTTCTCTCGAAAACTTCTAAAACCGGACCTTCAGAGGTTCCCATCGTTCATTCCTCCGCACTATAAAGTAGGACGGGTGCTATGATAGACCTAATGGAGCCTTGTCTTTGTTCGTCTGTGTAGAACTTTACTTTACCTACTCAATCTTAAGTAGCCCCTATTGGCAACAGCGTTTCTGCGCTGAATTTCAAGCTTAAGAATGTGGAGTGTTTCAGTTGCTGGTTCCTTGCTACACTTCAAAGTTATGCCATGCTTTTTGTAGTCTTGGTCAGAAGCAGCCCTTATAGAAGATTGTACTTCCTCTGCACGGCTCTGATTGTTTTCTCCAGCCTCAGAAGTCGCACAATGGAGAGTCTCCATGTCTGAAACCACGTTTTATACCAAAACACTCGGCATGGTGGTTCCCAATTCCACATGCACTTCTGATCAGCGGTAGTTCATTAAGCTCCTTTGCCCACTTTTATTTGAAAATGCGTCTTGGCTCCCTCTTCAATTCCTGGTATCTTTCTTTCCACTACAGTACGGAAATCCTCATCGAGACTACTCTTCTTTTGGCCATATCGAAAACTAATAGTTTCATTTGCAGCAGTACGTAGAGAGCTTGAAACGCCATGCCATCATACCACATTGCTTTTAGAGAACAGAAGTGGAAGTCGAGTAGAAAACTTTTTTGTTGTCCATTGTGATAGCAACCTTTCGTCGTGAAACTTCCTTTTTGATTGTTTGATGGGCGTTCTTTGCTACAGAGAAGCATGTGTATATCTTCGCTGCGACAAGATAATGGTCCGATTTGATGTTATAGTCAGGAGCACACGCGCCTTCAGCACAACATGCTGGATTTGGTTGCGTAATTTTCGATCCTAAAGTGATCATGTAGCTTGATGAGTTTTCTTTTCTCGAAATATTGTATGACAGACCCACAATTTCGAGTCTCAGCAAAGTGGATAAGCCTCAGCTCCGCGCTCATAGAGAGTATATATATGGGAGCTCTTCTTCCTATTTGTGGTTTTGCATATTGATGTTTTTCCAACAAAATGGAGGGAGCTACAGTTTATATTATACAAAGCCGCTTCCGAACGACTAATGGTTTTTTTATGAGTATTTTTTTTCATGTTAGATATACATTCGTAGGGGTTTCTTCGTTAATATCGTCTTTCGTTGTACGTGAAGCGCGGTGTCAAATCATTGTAAAGTTGAGGAGCTAGGTTCGTCGATGAAGTCTCTTTCCTACCACAAGTCCAAGACCAACTTTGCACTGCTTTATATATCTGCTTTAGCAGGGTTCGCAAGGATCCACCTTCTTCCGTTCTCGTTAAATCTTCGCAATTCCAGAATGGCGGTGATGCCAGCCCTTAGTCTTCACGAGAAGTGCCGACAGGCCGCTGGATGTATGAATGGTCAGTGATGCCATATAATTTACTCAACATCATGATATCACAATGAGCCTTCTTTAAGAGTAAGAGCTTCCACTAACCTAACCTAAAAACTGGACTTTTTAACGAGAAAAATGTTGATTTTGCTTTGATTTTCATTCCTAAATTAATAAACTGTTGAAAGGGTGGGCCAAGGTTGTATATTTCGGAGTATTTATAAAGATAATTTACTGGATTTATTCATCACATAACGCACATATACATACATACATGCGAGTGCATACATAAAGTTAGTGTTTGTTAAGCGAGTTTTGTAATGCGTTTCGAGTATTATTCACCTTATTTTTGTGTATTTAAACAATTTTCTCATTCATGACGTACTAAATATTTATGTATGTATGTAATTCTTGTAATTAAATGTCATTAAAAATTCGAAAATTTTAATTACATTTTATTTGCATTAAAAAGCAAAACCAACAACATGTAAAATTTCTTCTTTTTTTTTATAAACCAAACAGATAAACTAGGATTAATAGGCGGCGAAACACAGCCACAATATCCACAGTATCCACAATATATGCCACCACCACCACCACAACAACAGGCACAAGCGCCAGCTGCTGGCACCTCATCATTGGCTGACGACGGCAGTGTCGGCAACAAAGAGCAACATGGTGCAGTATAAAGCTTTTCACGGCAAGCAAATGACTTCAGTTAAATAAATGGTGAAAAGGTGAAAAGGTGGTAAGGTAAAATTATAAAATTATATAAAAAACAAAGCATTAAGAATGAAAACTACAAAAAAAAATACTGCAAATCATCATTAGAAAACCAATATATAAAGGAGCTAAATGAAAACTTTGTTGAAAGTGTCAAAACATAAATAATGGTCAAGTTGTTAAATGCAACAGTTAGCGGCAAGAGTTTAAGTAAGGCGCGCACACATAACCTCAAAAAAACGCCAAGTCAAAATTTTGCGATTAACTATGTGTGCGGTAAGAAGAAGCAGAACTTTTCTCTTTGACGTTTTCTTCTTTTTTTTTTTTTGGTCTCTCTTTGTTGGGCGCAGTGGGAAATAGCAGCTGCGGTGGAATGATGAATTTAAAATTAATATAAAAATTAATTATTTTTTAATTGTTATTTGTTTTAAATTTTCTTTTTGGTTAACCAAATTTTATTATTTATTTATATTGTTATTTGCTTATAAGTAGTTAAGCATATCATATTTGTTTTCCAATAAATTGCTCAATTCGAATAAAATTCCTATAAAAATAAATTATATAATTTTTGCAGTTTTTTGCTACTATTTTTTTTTATATATTTATTAATTTTTATAACTTATTTTAATTTTTTGTTTATTCTATTTAATTTATTTAAATTTTACTACAGTTTAATTATTATATAAGTTATTTCATTTTTTAATTATTCTTATTTTATAAATTATTTTAGTTTGTTATTTAGTCAAATTTTATTATTTTAATATTTTTTAATTATTCCAATTTTATTATTTTATAAAGTATTTGAATTTGTTATTTATTCTAATTGTATTTGTTTACGCGAGAAGCGTAAATCCTTGCATAACTTTGGGCGCTGGCTAATAGCTTTCTGATCATTTGAGAATTGCTTTATGATGGAAAATTGAAATTCTACTGAAAAGTAGCTTCTAGAATTTGTTTAAAGTCTGCTGTTCGTTCAGCTGGTTATACAAATATGCAGGTTTATTGTTGTTGTAGTAGTTTGTGGTTGGATTTTTGCAGCTCGTCATGCAATCGAGAATGCGTAGTCCATGTACGGGCCATGGTCGGCGACAAATCGACAGTCTGTTCAGAAAAAGGGTACGAAAGCTCTTCAACCAGGGAAGATGGACGAAGTGCATTCGTATTTTTTTGGTGTATTACTATTATCAGAACGTTAAGTCTTTTAGTTACCGCAAATGGAGTCAATGTGATTTTAGGTCATTAAAGTTGAGTTAAAGTTGAGTTAAAGTTGAGTTAATGTTGAGATAAACTTAAAATGTGAAATGTGATGTAGTCGTACTTGGTGGCGTGTTTTCATTGACTTGATAGTTAACGCGGCACTGTACTCGTCAAAATGGAAACAGAAAATAAAAGTTTGGACTAGTGAGTTAGACACCAGTGGGTGGTGTTTGTATGTACAGACAACGGCTTGTCGTCGATCCATGTAGCATCAACGCTCCCCATCTTTCATTCTTGTGCTTCGCATTGGAGTTGATTTTCTGACGGCTGATTTTCCAATCCTCCATATTCCAACCGGTTGTTCAAGCATTGGGCTACCCGTTCTACACAACCCTCCAGGACCAGGCACACGCAATCCCAAATACAACACGTTACACTCATAATCGAGATAGAAGTTTCGGATTTGACCAACGAGCCTAGTCTTTACCAATTACCACATATCTAAGCAGATGTGGGAGAATGCTAAGGAAATAACAGGAAACAATTAACCAGCGCCCAAAGTTATGCAAGGATATACGCCACTCGCGTGAATATATTATTTTAGATATTATTTGTATACATATATTAGCTATTTTAATTATTTTATATTAGAAGCTGTTTTAATTTTTTATTTATTCTAAGCTTATTATTTTATCAACTGTTTTTATTTATTATTTCATAAATTAATGATTTTTTTTATTTATTCTATTTTGGTTATTTTATTTGTGCTAATTTTATTATTTAGTAAATTATTTTTAATTATTATTTCTTATTTAATTGTTCTAATTTCACGATAAGCTCAAGCAAAACATATTTATATGTCCCGCTTTCCACGAACGTTCCGTAAACGTCAAATTTTAGCTGCATGCCCGTAGCACGTTTTCAGCGTTGACTCGGCTGAGCGTCGTAGCTGCTAATTGCCAACCAAAGTTGCCATACAACAATTATACGCCTACTCAGTAAATCACACAAATTAATGACAAACTTGAAAGTTTTAGTCTACTTTCAGCAATACAATAAAACATGCATAAATACTACATAAAATTGAAAAAAAAAATAAATGATTAAAACAATTCATACAAAATTACTAACTACTTTAATACACAAAAAATGTGTTAAAAATAATAATAATAATAATAATAAAACAAAATTAAATTTGAAATTTTTGACATTTAATAAAAAGTATTTATTTATGATTGCATTATTTATGGCGAAAAACAAACAAAAAGACAACAACAACAAAGCAGTGACAGCAAAAACAAGGACAAAATATACAAAGTAAATACAAAAAAATTTAAACCAAAGAGCAACAGGCAAAGAAACCATTGTTTAAGAACTACAACAAAACAAAACTACTTGTATTATTACAAAAAAAAAATAAATAAAATAATTGAAGAAATGAAATAAATTAAAGTAAAGGTATAATAATATAATATAATAACAATTAATATGCAGTAAATACCAAAAACACGAAATGTGGAAAATGTGCAGAAAATATACTAATGTGACAAGAAAATAAATGAATTTAGTGGTTTTAACAACTTTTATATATATTTTAAGTTTTTCTCTTCTCAAATATATTAGTTTTCCTAATTTGCGCATAATAAATTTGTTTTAATTTATTTATACACAAAATTATTTATTTACTCTACTAATCGTTGTTTATTTTTATTGAAACAAAAGCAAAAAAAAAAATAAAAACAAAACAAAAACCTTTTGTTGCTTAGCAAAAAATGTATTTAAGTAGACAAACAAAAAATAAATAAATATAAGCAAGTTAATGTTAATACAAAACAAATAAAAAAAAAAAGACAATTATATGCGGCACATGTATGGGAATGTTAAATTTGTATTAGAAAATTAAAAACGTGTTTTTTGCTTGAAATGGCGTGTATAACTACATACATATACTTATATTAAATACTACATACATACATAAATATATATTGCATAAAAATAATCAGTACGAAGGCCTAATTAATTATTAATTATGTATGTACAATTATTATTAAATGCCAAAACTACGAAAAAGAAAAACGAAAAAAATTCAAAAAACAATATGAAAATAATTTCCAATAATATTTTATTTATAATATTTTAAATATTTTCGAATATATTATATATGTTTTCAATTTTTGATTTTCCTCTTAATGTAGATATTTGTATTTTACGCTTCTCAAAATTTAACAATATTTCAAATAAAGTCAATAAAGGTTCGTTAGCCAGCATAAATAATATTTGATTAATTTAATTCATTTTTGTTTGCAAGACAATGTTTATAGGAAAGTATATTTATATAATTATGTAAAAAAAAAATGAAAAAATATTTATGAAACACTGTTACTCTTGACTTTTAAGAATTGTTATTTGCAAAAAAAAAAAAAAGTTAAATATTTCTGGCTTTAGTGCTCCACTACATTGCTTGCAACACCTGGCAATCTCATTAGTTGAACAAAAAGAGCATCCAACTTCAAACTTGAAGATCTTTCAGTTTTACGCTTTTAATTCTCAATAGTACATACTCACTGTGCTGCCTTCAATGCAAGAAAGTTTAAAATTTGCTTGCGGTTTGAGCCAATGCAGAGGCTACAACCTAACTCCATTTTGTTTTGCTTCTTTGTGCTTTTCGGTTTCTTTTATCGGTTGTTAAAATCATTCGTGCAACGAAATGAAAGTGGAATATGACCCGAATGACAACTGAAATGAAAAACGAGATCGATCAGGTGATCACAGCTGTGAGCTCAAACCAGAAACAGACGCAAAGTTTTCCTACATTTGAGCATGTACAATGGTTTTAGCACACAACTGTGATCACCTGGTAAATTTAGTTCCACAATTTCAGTTGTCATTAGTGGATATATTCCTTTTAAAAGAAACCCACAAAGAAAGAAACAAAATAAAAAGAAAGTTAGGCTTCTTTTGTAGTTTCTTCTTATAGTCGCTGCAATGATAGAACTGTAACAAAAGAGGATAAAAAATAGTTTGCCACAATCAGTGTTGTTATTCTTAAGATCAGAATTTCAAAATACGTACAACCATGCATACATAACATCGAAAAAGAATAACTAGTTTTTTGCGATTCTTTTTTTTATTGTGTTTCGAAATTTTGACGTGGGAAAACAGCAGCTGATTGTCAAATTTTATAACTGTGAGTAACGTGAATGTAATAGGCGCAATCTTTGCCTACTATCATTCTTGGCATTGTAACTCCACGTCTCCATTGCCAATCAGTGATTGCCGACCAACTGTCATTTTGACAGATAATTGAAAGCAATTTAATTGGGGGTACCTACGGTTTGATTTAAGCCGACTTTGAATGACTGATGGATATTTATGAGGAGCTGTTAGTTAATGTCAGAAATAGGCTCGGCGAGCTTGACATTTACTGCCCTTGATACAACAGACTTTTAACATTTTGACAGAAGAATGACAGATAAAACCCGTTTGCATTGCGTGACATTAGCAACTTTTAACACAAAGCGGAAAATGCATGATATGAACTTTTTTTCACATAATTTAAAATTAAAAATTTTAATTGAACTTAGTTTAAAGTTTTCCAGTAAAATTTTATATAAATTGCCTAAAACTAAAGAAAATAAAGGGAAATTGCATTCATAAAGCGCGTTAAAATAATGAGACTTAGCCAACTTTTGCTGGCTTCAGAGACACTTCATAGAGTTGCAGGTATTCACCAACACGTCAAAGACAATCTGTCACTTAAGGCAGCGAAAATTTCTAGCTGCCATCGGCGAATTGAATGAATCACGTTACTTCTTGGGGTCTTCTTCTGAACAAAATTTTGTTTCCTTACAAAAAAAAATTAAATTTATTAATCAGGTGATCATTATATTCAGGTTTATGAGTAATTTGCACGTTCAAATGAAGGCCCCTAATTTTAAAACATGTCGTTGGCTTGGTGCTTTGTATAAAAAATCAACCCGTCGCTGCTAATGGCGTTCATAGACTGAGTTTCTAAACGAAAAAGGCCTGATTTTGCTCAGTTTCAGTTTATTGTTTGCGCTATTAATAAAGATTTTTGTCAGCTGATTTGCAAGCGAAAAGTGGTGAATTTGGATTTATAGCATATCGTGGTAAGTGGTGTTTTAAGCTTCGGCGAAATTTTACTTTACTTTTCATTGCTTATTTCATTGCTTCATATACATATGTTATAGGGAATTTTAAACAATATGTTAATATTAAAATTTTTAATTTTGAAGTGGTTAAAACTTTAGAGAATATGAAAGAAAATTCACCGAAAATTCACCGAAAATTCCCACTTGTTGACACTAAAACTTTTCCATTTGCACTTTGCTGCCTCTAAAAAAAATTTAAGGTTATTTGTTTATATATGTATGTACATACAAATTATTAAATAAATATTTATATACACAATATATATTGATTGAAAGTCCGACCTGTAGGGAAATTTAATAATTGAGGGAATTATTTAGTAAAAAAAAAATTCTGAATGTAATTACTTCATACTTTTTCGAATGTTAAAACAAATTAAATATATATAATTATAAATATTTAAAGTTTTAACTACAGTTATAAAATGTGAAGGGTCAATTAATGTCATTTCAAAGTTTTCAATTTACGCAGCAAACAATGCAATCCAACACAGTCAGCTGTTTGTGGTGAATAAAAATGATATTGCAGCCAGTCAGCTGTTTGTGGTGAACAAAATGAAGTTTAACACAAAAATGATGTATACAATCATACTACCAATAATGAATATTAAAAAAACAATAAAAAAAATTTCAAAACTTTTCGAAGATCTTTGCTTTGAATCCTGCAATATAGAGAAATTTGCTTAACAAGAAAATGTACTAAATACAGCAAACAATTAAGGGAATTCACTAAAACTCCAATATACGTGCATAAATACATACATACATACATGTACATGTTTTTTGTAAGTAGATCTACAAAAAGATATATATTCCCAAAACAGCTTTAATACAATTTTTCGAGATCAAAGTATGTACGAGTATATACATAATAAATATGTATATAGATCTCTAGTCGATGTTAGCTGAGTGTTTCATAAATGTCAAAAGGGATTAAAAAAAAATAAAAAACAATTTAAAATTATAAATGTTAGTAGTTTTAACTACTTGTAATTATAAACTCTATATATATGTATATAATTATATGCATATATGTATATAGCAAAATATGCAGCTAATTCCAAAAAATACCTCTACTATTACGGTATACAAAGATTTCCAAGCTTTTTAACACCTTTCCTTGCCGGCTTCCTTTATACTAAATACTTTCTAATTAAAATGAAAAAAAATTATACATTCTTTTTTTCCAATAACAAATTAATATTTTGAATCACAAAACAAAAATCACTATAATTTACGCAAAGAAACGAATGCATGAAATCCATATTATAAATTACATACAAGTCTAATAGACAATGTTGTAAGGGGTATATGTAGTTAGTAGCAGCAGTGAAGAGCAAAATAAATGCATCATAACTTATATACATACAAAAGTTTAACAAATAGACAGAAAGAAATCAGCAACTTCCAGGTTGAATGTAAGCAAAATGAATTACAAAAACAATAACGAAATAATTATTATAGTAAATAAATAATTGAGAATGAACAGTTTTTTTTTCGAAATGTTTAGAATTTAACATAAAATGGAAGCATGCTATCTGTGTATGGTAATACATACTTACTACGTACTACATACACACATGTATATGAATATATGAATATATTATATAAATGATAATAATATTAATTAATTAATTAATTAATTAATTTAATGATTAATTGCACCCAATACATAAATATTTAAATAAATAAATACAACTACAAAAAAAAAAGTTTATAAAAAGTTTTGATTTGATTTCAAAAAGAATAACGGTAATAATTTCATAACCTATTCGTGTCGTTGATGTCCTCGTAAGAATAAAGTCTGACATCGGTACCGTTCAAGAGCAGAGACGAAAACACGTGAGTGCTTGTGGAATACACTACAGTAGTGAAATAAAGAGGCGTATAAACTTTTAACTCTTCAGCACTTGAAAACCAAAAAGTTATGGCTGAGATATAGCCCATTCTGTGCCAAAAAGAAGTCGAAAGTTTGCTCATTCCTGTATATATAAGCGTTGGGCAAAGAAGGTATTCAGCCTTCATGACGAAACATTCCAAACTGGGCTACTAATGGATTACAATGCTGTCTCCAGATTAAAAAACTGGAACACAGCTAGACGGAAGACATGTCTTTATTGTATTAAATGTGCACTCATCAGCAACACCGTATAAGGGAACTATAAGCTGACATTTCAAGCTCCTTATGGACTGTCCTTAGAGAAACAATTGTTTTTCCACAATTTCGGAAGAAGAACTGACACGATCCGGAATGTCATACAGCAGTATATAGACAATGTGAGTTGGAGAGGGAAACAAGTGGCATTTGTTGGAGGCAGAAAAAGCAAGAGGCCATCAACATGCATGAATATGAGCAGTTTGAAAAGCTGGCTGACAAGTATATCGAATAAAATGCGACAATATACAAAAGGTTTATAGAGATATGTTGCCTCCAGCTTGTTGATTTTTCATATATGTTGAAATTTGGTCTAATCAGCGCAAGCCTGAGGATTGGTATACAATCCATAACAAAGAGGCAAATCACAATCTACGCCAACTATCGTGGCATAAGTCTCCACAATATTGCTTATAAAGCTTTATCGAGCGTGCTTTGTGAAAGATCGAAACCAAAGACCAACGGACTGACTTTACCTTGCCCGTGTGACGATAGACCTGGGAAATCCACAATTGACCAGATATTTACCCTGCGTCAAATCTGGTAAAAGACTCGTGAGATCATCGATTTTAAAACTGCTTTCGCTGGCACAAAAAGGTCCTCTACGCCGCAATGTCTGAATTATGATATACATATCTGTTTACTAGAAAGGCCGGGCTGATTTTACTCGCGACTACAAGGTGTTTATTCTAAATAGGAACAACCCGAGCAGCGCTGTTCGAGCATTTTTGCGGACTCAACCCACTTTTATACGGTTAGATCAAAACCAAACAACGCATTCGGTCAAGTAATCTACTCAAAGGAACACATCTGACTGTCAGTTGACTAGTTGTGAATATCTTCTCGGATAACCAAACAACAGTCAGAGTTCTGAAATTTGTCACAATGAAATCCGAAACAGCTGATAATTTTCGCAGATCTCCTAACGTGATGGCTAAGCAGTTCTCTTTGGGTGTCAGGTCACACCAATGTAACAGGTAACGAGTTGGCAGACGAACTTACAAAGAGGAAAAGGAAGAACATGCAACATTAAGGCACTTTGCAAAATTAAGTCAAAGCGATTTGTTGAACGACACTATAATCCGCTACCGATCATGCTTATCCACCGACAAAGTCGAAGTGTTGCTCGCCGTTCTGGTGCCAATGGGCGGTGATACTACCGAACGAGTGTTTCTTTTGAGAAAGTAATATTTGTTGACCAACTGAGATGGGATATTCTAGACGCCTGGATAGTTCTCTTCTATGACGTCTATTTAATATCCCTTGGGAACTGGATTTGAATCGCTGATTTGCCATCCCTTGGAAGCTTTTGACGCAGGTATATGTCGGTGGACGCATGGGCAAACAAAGATTAAGAGGAGAAGAACATGGTGCCCCCAATTGTGACCGCACGGAGAAGAGAAGAAACGAATGCTGGACTTATGCTGTTCTAATTAAAATAATAAAACTTTTCTATATGTGTGCATACATGTATCATTTAAGGACACGTTAACCGTTAACCGATTAATCAATTAAATATAAATCCAATAAAATCACCAAAGAGAATAAATAGCGCTTCAACGGCGTAACAGGTTTACCCTGTCAAACCCAATTAAGGTGAATTTGTATAAATTTATGTACATCCATACATACATACATACATACATACACACATGTACACGTATGTTAATAAATGTGTTGCGAGAAGCACACGCTAGTATGCAATGCAGCAGCCTCTCATCCTCTCCAATAAAAGGTATATTACGGTAAATATTTATGAACATGGCGACAATTGGACTTGGTAAACCGCACAAGCTTTGGCAAGTATGGAGATATTTACATACGAATATCTATGTTTATAAACATGTAATGTACTATAAACAAACCGGTTTGGCATAGTCCGTGGGCGTGTCTATTGAGGTTTAAATTTAGCAAATTTAGCAAATTCTTCTCAGGGATTTTTGGAATATTAAAGATGTGATGAAATCACACACGCGTTTACTTAATTGTGAATATGAGAAGCACGTGTATAGCTATGATTTAAAAGTTAAGGCCAACTCCCACGACAGCCAGCTCTACACACTGGAGTTGTCAATGATTTCATCCAGATAAGGGATGTCTCCCAAACAAGCAACACCAAAAACTCCGTCAGGATTGGGGAAGGACTTCTTCAAGGTGCTCGGTACCAAACGAGGTTTCAGGCAAGGTGATTCCTTATCGTGTGACGTCTTTAATTTGTTGTTGAAGAAAATAATAAGAGCTACAAATCTGACATTATTGGCCTCAATATCCGCGCTTTTAAAGACTTGATAAGTAAGCAAAGGATATGGGTCTGGTAGAAACGACTTTTCATTACGCACCACTTTTGCTCCGCTCTGCCTTCCGTAAGTCGCCATACCTTTTCGTAGAATTTTTGAGCATTACCCTTGCCAGCCAGCTTCTCAAGCTCTACTACTCACGCATCTCGGCCTCTTTCTTTTTTTGTCTGAAGATGCGTCTTGCTTTCCTCTTCAGCTCTTGGTATCTTTCCCATTCCGACGTTGGGTTCTCGGAGTATACGCACTTTAAGAACACTGGAGTTATGTCTTCCGTCTATCACAACATGAGATTTGATTTGGATTTTTTGATAACGAGACCACCAAGTAGCTTGATGTACTTTTCCGTACTGGAATCTACTGCTACAGACCACCATATTTCGAGACCCGGAGAAGTCGATGAGCCCATTAGGGAATAATTCATTGTGAGAGCTGTATTTTCTAACAGTTGTACCAAAGATAGCTTCTTAACCCACCCTGGCATTAAAATCGTCAAGCACGATTTTCGTGTC